CCAAGTGACACTTGTCACTCTATTAATGCATCTCTATCCCTTTGTTCCCTCTTACATCAATCCACATAACAACCTCTAATTATCTCTTAACACCCGATAAATTAATTCCAGTATCCAAAACCTAACCTAGTTGGCCGAATTTTTCCGAACTTTTCGCACTAGTGGGTCCCACGTCCGGTATACACTCTTAATTTTACATGAACTAACTTATACTAGAAAAATAATTTAAAAACTATATTTTGCTCATAAAAATTATCTGGGGAATTTTCTAATAAAGAAAAGGTATAAAAGTTTGCAATTAAATAAAATAAAGCCTAGAAATTCGGAAAATTTTCGGGTCCTCACGGGTGCATATTCTAGGCAAAGAAATCTATCAAAATTTCACATATATAAAGCTCGAAACTAAGCTGAATAGATTATGCACCAAAGCTGGAAATTTGCAACACAACTTGAAAGAAACATGAAAACTAGGGTTTCTAAGACATCATACATCGTACATCAACAAACTCAAAGATAAGGGAAGAAAACTAGGGTTTCTAGCCAAGTTCACCTCTTGACCTCCAAAACCTAGGATGGCAAGCAAATCAAGAACGGTGCAAGGCTTTCTTCCTCTAAGAACTTCACTAAGAGCTTCCCTTCAAGGTTTGATGGAGTAAATTACCTCTTGTTTTCTCACCAAATAGGCAAAAAATCAAGCCTTGAAACTTGGTGTTTTCTCTCCCTTCTCTCTCTCTCTCTCTCTCTAAATTTGGCCAGCTAGGAAGAAAAAAAAATGAAGAAATGGTGATGAATGGAAGCTTGGTGAAGATAAGAAGAAGGCTTGGTCTTAGTCAAAGGTTTCTAGATGATTGACACTTGGCAAGCCAAGAAGAAATACCGATCCATTTGTCTCTTACACACTAAAATATCTAGCTCTCTTCCAATCATCTCTTAACAGCTCTTGTCACATAATCCCTTTTGCACAAAATTTCTTCTTGTCCACCAAATTTATTGCATACACCTCTCTAGTTGGTCATAATCGCGTAACATACCATGAAACTCGACATGTGGCAAATTAAATGAGGCAATAGAATAAAAATCATTGCTCCACCATTAAATCAACCAAAAATTCAAGGCAAGTAGATTAAAATACAAAATATAAAAATAATTTTCGAGTCCTTATAGTTGAGACATTCACAAACTTGGCCTGTTGCTGATAAGTGAGCTTCTGCTCATCCTAGAAATCCACACCAGAGAAAAATAATAAAGTCAAAAGACAAGCATAAGGCAAAGTCTTGTTCCATTGGCCATAATAGGTGGCATTAGTCATAGTCCTAAGAATGATAGTAGCCAATGGTATACTTACAATGTCTCTTAATCCAAACTCCATTTTATCCATAAGATTGCTGACCCACATCACATTCTTACTATTAAAAGCAAGCACAATATTATGATTAAATAAATAGACAAGCAAACTATGCCTCAATTTCAAGAATTCAGTAGAAATGTGTGCTTTATCCGTCACCACCTTACAACCATAAACCAGCTTTCTCTCTACTGGTGTCCATGATGGAATTTATGCAAAGACCTCTCAAATACCCAATTAAGATCAAATTCCACAATTGTCCTCCCATTTTCAAAAGGAGGTCCATAATTTTTGGCACCAAGAAAATCAGTCAAAAACTCTTGAGTAGGGTAATATATATCCCTTAAACATAACTTTAAACAAGACAACTACTAAATTATTCTTTGTTTTCATATTAGTATAAAACTGATGAATAAGAATAGGATAATAGATGTATCTAATATTCACTCCCAACCAAATTGAACAAATAACTCATAAAAGTGATAGTCACTATCAAGGCAGCGTCTAAATTTACCTCAATGAAAATAGAATTCTCAATTTTTGCAAATGCTAGTTTTCATTCTTTGCTTTCAGGAAACGGAGATTATCAAATGTAGAAGGAGCCCTAACCTTGTTATGAGGTGTGATTTTTAATATGTGAAGGCATAGTTTATATACTCACAACAGCACCAATTCAAGCAACAAAACTAACCCCAAAGGATATTCAAGTACTCCAACACAAAGGCATTATACAAGCTCTAATATACCAAATTAATAAGTAAAACACAACTAAGAAGCTTGTCAATACACCACCAATCACCCTAAAGTTGCCTAGAAATTCAATAAAATTTCGATCAAAATTCACACATTACACCAAGAACACACACTATATATGTTAGAATATTTAGTCCAAAATGGAGTGTTTAAATGGCATAGATTGAAGAAACTTACTCCACCATCCTAAGAAAGCAAAAGCCCCTTGGTTCCAAGCAAAAATTCAGTCAAATTTGAGGAACCGCAAAGGTAGGGCTTGAACCTCAATTTATTATTTGATTTATCATATATGTTATTTGATTTAATTTTTCTCCTAAATTGGTTTCATTGGTGATATGGTGATCTTGTAAATGCTTGATGGTGGATATATACTTTATAATAGATGTTCTAAGTATTATGGGTGAAAAATATAAATGTAGTAAGAAGTGGGACGTGTTGTGTTAAAATTGTGCCTTACAGCAATTTTGAAAAAATACAAAGGCAACATTTGGGTCTAATTTTTGTGTATGAGTGAAAACACAATCATGCCCTTACATGCATATATTTTGATATTTTTATTGATAGGAAACGATGTTATTAAAAAAAATTTCAATCTATAGGAAATGGTGATACAACTATGTTTGAAGTTATAGAAATTACATATATATTATTTTTACTAAATAAATGTTTTAGTTTCTTATGAAAAAATATGACATTTAAATTTTTTTCATAAAGAAATAACTCTATATGGTTAAACATCAAAGGGAACTATTAATAAAGACAAACAAAGGGAAAATGTATGAATACCTAATTTCCTTTTCTTTTGATAAGGAATTATTAGTAAAAATAGAATAATTTTTTTGAAAAAAAATAACTGTATATCTTTCGTTATTGAATAGTACCAATGTCATACATACATATTTTAGTTTCAAAGAAAGAAAAATGACAATGAAATTTAAATATCTGTATGTGTGTACGTACACAATCGGGATCATTTAACAGTTAGATATATACTTTTATTTTATTTTTTTAAAAAGAAAGACTTCTATTTTTGTAATAAATCCTTATCACAGAAAATATGGAAAATTGAATGTAACCCATGTCAGCATGAGTGCCTTTAAGTGATCTAGAATATGACGAGACCTTAGTTTACCCTACATTGTTCCTTAATAAGAAAAAATACAATAACATGCACCATGTTCTAAAGACCAAATATCAAAGCATTATATATATTGACGGTATAACTATCTTTTCACACCTCTTATGCACAGAAAATTAAGGAACAATTTTTCAAACCTCCCTTCAAGTTTTGCCTAATATCGCTTAGCACCCCTGAAGTTTTAGAAATACCATTTACCTCCCTTATTAGTGAGATGAATTCACTAATTACCATCAATGCATATAAATGGACAAAATTACCATTACTAGTTTAACCATTCTTTAGGCAAATAAGGATGGAAGTGAAAACCAAAATCACTATAATACCGTGGCTATTTTAATCCTTTTTATTTTGCACTTAAAGCATTTTAGTTATTTAATCTTACTATGTCAACCAGGTACTAAATTATCCTTGACATTGTAATATTTAGGATAAGAACATATGGAAAAAAATCAAAGTTTACAAAGACAATGGCTACTTGAACAATTATACTTGCACTTAAGCACCTTTGTCCTTCAAAATTTCTTATCCCTCCTACACAAACTATATATTAAATCATCCTTACTAAAGCTAATACTTCTGCAGGTAAAGAAAAGTTGGAAGTGAAAATGCTTAACATCACTGCCCTCCTACTTTTGTCATTTTATGTCAATCTTATTATTTGCTCTTGATATTTAAAAAATTATTTTATGAAAAAAATTGGAAAAGAAAAAACCAAAATTTGTAAGATTTGGTCATTCTAATAATTATTTTTCCCATAACCACCCCTCCTCAACCTTTATTTTTCCTATGTCAACCTTATATCAAGTTATCCTCACTTTTCTGAACATTACATTTGCAAAATAAAAGGAAGATAATAAATCTAAATTTATACAAAAATTGGCTAATCTAATAATTATTTTACATTCAAATGTCTCTTTTCACCACTTTTGTAGTCTTCATATGCCAATTTTTAATTAAGTTTCCTTTGTTATTCAAGCAATTATGTAAGCAACAAAATTAATAAAAGGTAAAAGTAGAAAAAATACTATACTACCAATTATTATTTTACTTAATATTCCCTTCCAATCTTTTTTAGTTCTCCCATGCAAATATATATGTTTTAGAAATCAATATGGTAAAAAACTGAAGATAGGACAACACAAAAGGTTAAAATTGGAAAACAAATATCTCTCTCTTTTAATAATTATTTTAAGAATATTTTTATGATATAGTTTGTTAAGGGGATTAACTCTTCTTTTATTACGTGGGCCAATTTGCAACCCACATTACACAGGACAACTTGCAATTAAGCATAAAACATTAGGTAAAAAGGACAAGTTGATGGCACGCAAATAGAGAGTATAAGCGAGAAGTCTCGGGTTTGTGCTCTCCTACTTCCTATATATATATATATATATATATATAATTTTTTTATAGATTAATTTTATATGCAGTGATAGTATATACATTATCACTATTAGATATATAAAATTATTTAAATTTGTATCTAATGGTGATAGTGTATATAAAATTAACTTTCTTCTTTCACTACGTGAGCCAATTTGCAGCCAACATTGCACCGGGCAACTTGCAATTAAGCCTAAAATATTGAGAAAGTATAAAGTGAAACTTGCCTTGACGACACTTGTTCTGTACGTAAAACATAGTATTTTACGTCTTATTAAATTAACTGACTGGAAAGTTCTTATCTGAAATGGTCAAGTGAGTCGTGATGACGGCCAATTCAATGGTTTTGAATTGAAGTAGTCAGATGTAGCGAAAGGATCAACAGAAATGCAAAACGAAAAATGTGAAAAACTTTTGTTCTTTCGGTTCTTTGTTCATTCTTGACATCAGCAGTTAAAATAATATTGCCAGGCCATCGTAATAGTCACTTAGTCTTCTACATCCTTTTCTGTTTCAACTTTTTTGAACGCTTTTCAACCAACCGGTTGTGGCTGACAATCCAATGAAACATCAAACTTTTCCAAAACGTTAGCAGGATGATCTTCACAAAGAGAAGCAGAAAAGGCTCTACAAATTCTGCTTCCTCTTCCTCTATAGCTACTAATAAGACGAAAAATTCCCATCTTTACCCTGTAGAGGATCAGAAATCTGTGGTGCAACGCAGACATGCATCATTGATCAGGTTGAAAATTCGACCTGTGGGCCCTATTATTAAGTCCAGAACAACGATTCCATCTGCTCCTTGGAAAATGTCCGACGAAGAAGATGAAGAAGAGAGTGATTTTCACGGTCAGCTTGCAAGTGAACAGTGGCCTAGTAATCATGGTGATGAGGGGGATGATTCTTGCAGGTGGTTATCATCAGGTAATACTTCTCCTTCATGCTGTTTTGATGACAAAATCTTTGCAAATTTATTGGAGTTATCTCTTGATGACTGGCTAGTATCTGTTTTGATTTTCTGTTACAATTCATCAAGTCCAGTTTTTGGTAGAGCAACTTCTTTCTTTGATGGATCTAGCGTAACTCCATTGGAAGAAGCATCATCTATTCTAACATCATCATCTGAAGAGGAAATTTTTGACGAAGAAATCACAACTTGGTTGATGAACTCATTAGAGACAGACAAATTATCTGCCCAATCATACCAAGATAGCAATGTTTGCAATCATTTCGTATATTTTAGCAATGATGACTTCGAAGTGCCTGAAATTTGGGATTTTGATGAAGGGCTATTGGAATCCTTCCTTGATCTTGAGGATGTTGAACTTTCTCCAGATTGATTTTCCTAGTCCATCTTACAGGAGCAGCTGGAGTTCTGATACTTCCCAATCATCAGATTTTGTTTCATATGGCAAAAATTTTGCACCAGCTGAATCCACAAAATCCACAAATACTGAAATTGATGAGCCAATTTTCTGGCCATTTGCTCATAAATTTGCTTCCAATTTGAACTTTTCACGGAATTTCCTTATCATGTCACCACCAAAAATCATGTCCAAGTTTTTACTTCAGAATTCTGAAACGGACATCAGGGGAAGGCGCAAGCTTTCTTTGAACTCAACACTGCAATCAACAAAGATTCTGGAAAAGAAACATGGAAAAGGAGATAATCATGTCAAGCTGATCAACAATGCCCCCAATCTTTCCACAAAATCAATTAGATCTTTCTCGAAAGATGATATTATGGAATTTAAACATGAGGAATATTTGACAGTAGAAGAAATAGTTGATCTTGATGAGCATTTGAAGTCAATGGAGGAAGACTTCGAAGTAGTTCAAGAACTTTCAATCGAAAAACTGTTAGGTCACATGAAGGGATTGAGTTTGGGTTCGACAAAGATTCTCCTTTCTTTGATGAATCATTCAAAGAAATATTGTTGTAGAAAGTTTTGTGAATTTCTACTCCTTTAGGCAACCGATAAGGGAATAAATTTAGACTGGATGTTCAAATATTCAAAATTGATTTGGTTGCCAAAATTTTTTCAAAGAGTTGCTTTTCAAAATTCAAACACCTTTTTTAGGACCTAGTTTGATAAGAAGTCATTAATTCTGAACTTTCGTCACACATGAATATCGTAGAGCTAATATTGCAAAGCTCACCATATCCATACGTCCTCGCTATCTTAAATTTTGTTTCACTTCAACCCAATTTAAAATAGTGAGAGTATGTAAATATCATATAAAGGTGGTATACAAATATCGATCTTCCCTTTCAAAAACCAAGTTCCGCGGTTGCTGTAGCAGTGTTGCTCCTTCGTGGAGCTGATGATGAAACATACAGTAAGAAGTGGCAGAAATGGTTGGGGGCCTTAGGAAAATTGCAAATTTTTTGGAAGCGAGGAAAATTTCTATTTTCGTTTAGTAAAGGTGAAGGTGTCTCTTTTTGTACTATAGTGTAGAGACTATGGGTTTAAACAAGTATCATTCTGCTGCCATTGATCGTTTGTAGCCTGATAAGCTTTTTAGTGCTCCAAAATTTCTGATATTGCCGGAAAGCTCCTTGTTTGTTTCGAAATATTATGCTACTTTTTTAGCCAATTGAATGTGCCTCCTTGGTATGTCCAACTGATTTCTTCCCATCCTTGCAAGAAGATTTTCTTAGTCTTTGTGTTATTAAGGAAAGTGCCCCGCCAATGTTTATCAAAATTTTCTTGTGTATCATGTCATAAGTAGTGTAACATCAAACATTTTGTTGTCCAATTGATCGTGCCTCTCCGGTACGTCCATCTGACTTCTTCCCACCCTTGAAAGAAAATTTTCTTAATCTTTGAGCTATTAAAAAAGAACCATGCCACTTCTTATCAAACCTTTATTGTGAATCATGTCACAAGTACTTAAGTAGTGTAATTCACAAAGGTAACTACCAAATAGAAGGAGCTTGAGAAAATTCTCAAAAAAGGGCAAGATAAAATATCGGTGGGAAGGGGTTTTGCCTTTGGAGCTTCTGTACGGTTCTTCACTTCTTCCATAATTCATCAAATATTTTGAAGTACTAAAATGAGAGTCCATGTGTGGTCAATATATGTGGGGTAAAAAAAAAGGGAAAACTGCGCAAATTGTCGATCACATATCACTGATATGAAAATTTAGTCCCTCAAAATGAAAATGATCACTTTTAATTCCTAATAAATTAAAAATAATTAGGTTTGATCTTGATCATTTTTTCGTTCAAAATTTAGTGGGAGCTACTCATGAGCAAATCACGTGACCAGTTTTTAATTGACAAATATGGTATCTTAGTGTAGCGTTGACTACTGCAAATATAAGAGACTATCAATCCCTTTCTTTCCAAAATCCTAATTTCCCCAAATTTTCCCCCTTCAATTTCTTCAAAAAAATTATAGACCAAACAAGAAGGAGGGATATGGCAGATGAATTGGCTTATTTTCAAGGCCTTAAAGACCCTGATTTATGCACAGAGATCCTCTTCGCTCATGGACCTCAAGCAAGCAATCTCCTTTTTTTTTCCTCATCTCTAATCCCTTTGATGAGCCCACCACCGTTGATGATTCTCCTTTTACCTTCATCCCAGCGACCATCTCTTTCAATTCTAACAACCACCATAGCAGCTGGAACCAATGGGGCCCTCAGCTTGGCTTGGGAAGATATGACACTTCGGTTCTCCATCATTTCCGGTAGTCTGGTGCTGCTGGATACGGGGCAGGAGCGGTCGTCAGGCCGACCGCTCCTGAACGGTCCTCTCACAATGGTAGACGAAAGGACCACAACGAGCCACGTCGAATAGTTTTGGGAAGCGGCAAAAACGACAGTGTTTCAATTAGTAATGGGAAAAAGAAAATGAAGCTACTAACGGAGCCCGTCATGAAGCGTCAGCTCCAGTCAACAAAATCCCGCGCAAACAAAGCGTCAAACACAAATGCATCGTCAAACACAAAAGTCTTTTGGTTTCCCTCCACACTGACTATTGCCAAATTTCAGTCACACAGAACACTAGAAAACGGAAGCAAAAAGAGAAAATAAGAAAGTGGCTGGAGGCAGAACAAGCAAGTGGCTACAGGCAAGAAAGTGGCTGGGGCAAACTAGGGAAAGGGGAAAGTAGGGAAAAATACATTTGTGATGAAGGAGCAATCCAACATGCAGAGTTGTCACGGTTTGAAATCTGGAAGGGCTTGGTAAAAATGAATCAAAATTGTAAAGTGGAACGTTGGGGCATCTGGAGAAGAGAAAAAGTAGGAAACACCCAGGTAACAAAACAACAATGTTATGACATCACTTTCGAAACTTAACAAGGTGGTGCAGCGATGTGAGTTGTTGTTAACGTCATAAATGAATAGGTTAATTGATCTTTAATGATTTTGATAGAACAGAATGTTTATTGGTACTAAATAGTATAAGGTATGTAATTTGGTGGCCAACACTGAGGAGAACAGGTGCAGAAAACTTAGTACGCCAAGTGTTTGCAAAATCGTGTGAATGGAATGTGGAATTGCTTGGGTAATAATATAACATTTGTACTAGTTATTGCTTTGAACTTATTGCAGATTTTGTTGGCTAGCAATGGTTGTGGGCGGATTATAGTTTGTTTGTTTGTGGTTTGTACATGTTATTGATGGTGACATACAAAGCGAAAAAAAGTGTTACAAAAATAGTTTCCTTAAGTATATATCAGAGTGTTGTATAAGGAGACATTTGATATGAATAAATAGTGACGCAGAGTAAAATTGTTAAGCTGCGTGAATGCATATAACATTGAGATTGATAGATGCATTGTGGGCAAAAAGGTTACAAGTTATTTTAACCAGGCATGTTGGACAGCAGGTTGGATAACTGTTACATGCAGTGATTCTGAAGTTACAGTAGCAGAATTGTTGTGTAAAATTGCATGAACATATTGTGAACTTTCTAGCTATTGTTTGTTAGTTAACTCATATTTGTATAATCACAGGATAAAGAGAAGAAGTCGATTGTTGATAGGTAGGGCAGCCGACGACAAGCTGAACAAGGTACGAAAAATGATTTATATAGTGTTCAGTTTGACATACTGAGTGTGGAAAAAAGATTACAAGTTTTGCTCCGCTAGTGTGACTGAACATGAAGTTGGATAAGTGTAACACGCAGTGACTTAGCAATTACAATATAAGAACTACTCTGTAAAATAGTATATTACATAATTGTTTAATTGGTAACTCGCAATTGATACATAACTCATATGTGTACAGTAGAACAAGAAATAGAAGAAGAAGTCGATTGTGTAAAAAATGATAAATGAGTGAGAGTAGATCATAAGTGGAATTTGCACCGTAGAATAATTAACTCACTGTTAATTTTGGCAAACATAGTGTGGAAGGAAAGTTACAAGTTTTTAAAAGTATTGTTATTGAGATTTGAGAGTGATGTATTATATATGTTATTACTTTGTAATGCATTCAGAATAATCTGGGAAGCATAATAGAACTGAAGTGCAGTTGTATAACTCTTAGTTCAGATGGCAGGAAAAAGATCGAGAACTTCAAGTGGCCAAGGTGGTAGAGATGAACCAGTAAGAGAGTTTGGTGGCAAAGAACCCGAGGCTTCATCTAAATCACTTAATATGTAAGTGGCTAATGTTTGTGTCTCACAATTTGTATAGCACTCAAAAAGTGAAGTTGGTGATAATTTATCGGCATATTGCAGTGGGAAGAAGGCAGGGAAAAGAAGGAAAAAAATGGCCACAAACACAGCTGAAGATGAGCAAATGGAGGTAGCAGGAACAAGTGAGATTGCGGAACCACTTCCACGTTTGAATCCATGGATGAAATTCAGGTCGGATTGTAGGTAATAGAAAATAGCAATCATTATTTAACAGCAGTATTAAATTTGTTTCACTGGACTTTGTGGGCAGGAAAGAGTATCAATGTAAGGTTTTGGCGAAAGAAGTGAAGGTGACAGAGGTATGCATATCCATCATAATAAAGAAAGCAAGCAATCTACTATTTAGAAAGAAGTATATGGAATATAAGTGAGGACACAAGAAGTAGATGAGTTTAACGTGGGTGATATTACAATGCAGTATAATAATATTGCCCGAGCAGCATACAATGAGTTGAGTAAGGAAGACATGATGAAACGAAAAGAGGAGTACCTGAAAGAGAAAAAAGCATATGAGAAAGAAATGGCACGTCAGGGAAAAGCAGGGAAAAGCAGCATGCGATCTGGTCGAATCATTGTATACAGAGGAAAAAAATAAGGACCAGAAGGTGGCAATGTACCGGGATACCGATTGCAAAGAAGGATCTGAATATGAATCTGCAGAAGAAGGACATGATGGTGAAGAAAATGAGAAAGATGATAATGAAGATGCGGGTGCCAAAGATCATAATGAAAACCTTCAGGCTAGCGATGGTGAAGGAGGTGGTAGAGCAACAGATGATGCTATGAATGTGAGTGGACAGAGTGAGGGAGAGGACCACAGAAATGGTAAAGGTACAGTGACAAATAACAATGAGTAAACGGATGAAGGTCCTTGCCCATCTTCGAGCACTGTGACACCAATGAGGACAGTCACGGGTGTTGAAAGTAGACGTCCAGCTGAAGTAAACAATGATTTCTTAGAGATGAACAAGAAGCTGCATGCGAACATAGAAGATCAACAACAACAGGAGCTGCATAATAGTCACAGCCGTGAATGTGGTGAAGATAATTGTCTAGAGGAACAACCGTCAAATCCCAGTCAGCATGAAAATCCTGCATTTGATGCAAACACTCCGAGAAGGCTACGTTCATATGGTCGAAATCGACAAGGTTGGTTAAATATTTTTGTCTATATTTTCATGG